AAAAAAAAATCTCCAATAGGCTTTGATTTAGTAATGTTGGTAAATTCCCTTCACTTGAAGCTGAAACCGTCACTCTTCAAAAAGGGATTCGACTCTAATATAGGCTTCAGAAGAAGGAAGTCATAACTATGATACCCCATTGAATCCCATTTGCCTCAATCTTTCGTGGCAGAAAGAAGCGGTAACATTTTTTATCATATTGTATACTAACAGCAACAGGAAATAAGCATATGCCTACAAGAGCAGATAAATGAGTCCACATTTCCTCTCACCATTCAGTGGTACAGAGTTAAACCTATAACCTGCTGAGTAAAAGAAGTCAACACTTCCAGTTTTTTGTATTAACTGTGCGTTTTAAAGGATATATTGTGTTTAGAATGATTATGATGAAGTCACGTTTGGGATTATTTACACTCTGGAATATAAGGCGGATGGACGTGCTTGGTCTAACAGCCGGGTCCTGCCAGCCAAGGAGGGGGCCAGGCACTTCACTGACTTGTCCCCACCCTCGTGTATCGGTTCATTATTGGAATAAAAGAAGATCACACACTGTCACCTTATGAGAAGTTTTTCAAGCAGCAGCAACAGCAGCAGTGGAGGGTCTCGTCTCAGTAAGTCTCTACGCCCTTTACATTCATTTCATCTGAATACATTAACATTACATTAACAACCTGCTTTTACACACTTTATTTATAAATCTGCAGCTTAACAACTTGATAATGAGAAAATGTGTGTTTTAATTAAAACACACCATATGGACTAAAGTGATTGAAATATTTTTTTAAAGGTCGTCAGACCCTTTTCTAGATATCATGTTAGGCCACAGACAAAGTATACGCTTAATTAACGCAGAATTTTCAAGGAAATTTGAAGTGTTATTGACTAATTGAGTAATTTTCTATCCTAATGAAATTTGTATAAATGTGGTTTTGCGTGTACTTCTATAACATAGTTTAGACATGTAAATATATACGAAAAGTATTGTAAAATCCTTTTTCTGGTCCTTAATAATTTGGATTACATTTCGTCAAAGGAAAAAAGGGGGAAAGAGATGGAGTTAAACTGGCCGTATTTGATGGAGTTGGATATTTCTGAATTTAATTTGAAGATACAACAAACAGTTCAAATTTGCGCCTGCAGCTTCTCTGTGAAAGTTTTGGGTCACGGGACACGAGCCATCGTCTGAGCCGCTGTCCGCGGTGCTGAAGCGGGTTTCCCGAATCACATCATTTCAAAACCAGACCAGATGTTAGCAGGAAGGCTCGAGCGGGGCTCTGACTCTTGAACAATACTTGCAGATTCAAGAAAACTGAAACAGATTGAAACTAAATCTACACAGAATTTAATAGAAGAGCTATAAAATCAACCCGAACTCCGGATTCTATTTTTTAGATTAAACCTTAGAGGGGAACAAATATTTCTGTCATTTAAGACTTGACCAGAATCAGCTAAATATCTGGACAGTAGATCTAAAGTTCCCGTTCGTCCACACGTGTTTGTCATTTGAAGATCTGAGAGAGAAACGAGGGTGTATAACCTGCCGCTAGAGCAGCTCCGATGCCCGGCATGGCTGTTAATTGGGGGGAATTAAGGAGTCACAACACGGGGTTCGCCTCCTCCTGGTGGCTCGAGCGAAAAGCGCACCCTCACACCGTCACCCTCGAGCATCAAGAGAAGTACTCCGCCAACACACCGAGCCCTGCGCCACGGACATGTGAGCCGGGAGTTTGTAGAAACAAGAATTTTTATTCTCAAAGCCGAAACACCAAAACGAGTAAAGGAGCAGCAAACATGGATTCTAGATTCCTTTAGCATTTTAAAGCGTCCCCATCACCCCGACTGCGTTTCTACATTTGCAACATGCAGGCTGTTTGATCACACGCGACCAGTTTCCAAAACTAAATATATTATATCATTTGATTTGATCAATATATTTATATAATATATATTAATGTATATACATTTTTAAATACAATATAAAATATTTTTTTAAAACTATGTTTTCATAAAAAAAGTAAAGTAGCAGTTAACAGTTAACGGGTCCGGACTATATAAATTATTTGAAAAGACTGAGACTGTGTCGGGTGTTACATAATTCCCTCAGGCAGACTCGC